TCTACACCTCTGAGCCTGACTGGAACTGGATGGGTGGAACTGCCAGCGTGGCAGTGGGAGATTGGACCATGGGATGGACTTGTGGGTGTGAGGGCAAGATCATGAACTTTCAACTGGGTGGGGAAAACTGGGAAGCTTTCAGATTCGGGTTTCCACAGATGTGCCAACAAGACTCTCCTAATAAATTGGAACTTAGAACAATATTTTGCCTTGGACTCTGATTTAATTTTGGATGCTATTTGTAACGCTGACACTGAGTTACTAACTTATCAACTGCACTTAAGAATGCCGGGTGGACAGACTGAGGCAAGCCAAGTCTTTCAAATGCTAACAGCTTTAATGCTTAACAGGTTGCCAAACACGGCAATTCACAACATCTCAGCTAACTGGCAACAGCTGAGTCCGGTTTGACAGCAATTTATATATACCGGCTGTCAAACAGGTAGCCAATCAGGAGCAAGAACAACGCCCCCTAGGAAGACAGACTGGAGGGAGAACTATTGCACATAGCAACCTGTATGGGGTGGATATTTGAAGAAGTGTGCTGTTCTAGAAGTATCTACAAAAGTAAAACTCCTTTCTAATCAAAGAGCAGAATGCACCCCACTATTACACATCTTCAAGGGAGTAATTGCTAAATTACATAATAAGGAACTTTTTATATTTTTACTTCTAGCAGCTAATTAATAATTGCTCAACAGTGGAAGTTCCTTGATGATTTAATGGCTGTGAAATGGTGTACTAAAAATATAGTCGATTCTTGTTCTTAAAAAAAGTTACTGACAGAATTTGAATATTAAGTACACAGAAGAATCAACTACATTTTTATTGGATCTATGTATCTACAGAAATTGTAAATGTTATTAAAACAATGGTTTTTATTTTTTGTGAATCCTGCAATTTATGGAAACCATTAATTAATTAATTAATTAATTAATCCTGATTTATACTTTTATAAAATGTACGTTTTTTTCTAAATAGAAACAAATTCAGAAACCATCTCAGGTAGGCTGGTAACTGAATAGCTTAATTAAAGGTGCAGAAAAGGGTTTTTTTAAACACACATGCTCTCCTTAACCAATCCAGGTGATGAGGGCTTGCAAGCTTTGGATATATACAAAAATCACAGGAAATCGAGAAACTAAGTAAGTGGTTCACTTAGAAGCAGCCACTTTTGAGGATTTCAAGGGTTTATGTCTGAATAGTTTTAATCAGGTTATGTTGTGGAGATTTTAGGATTTGATGGCTGTTACTCTGTTAGATGTTATTCTTGCTATTGTGACTTTAAGAAGTAAATCACATTTTCATTTTCCCTTGTTTTGGTCATGGCTATCTTGAACTTAGAAAAGGGCAGTTCTACCTTCACTGGTTCTTCATTCTTATTCTTCCTGCCTGTAAATTCTCCTCTCGGTTCTTCCATTTTCTTCCAAGGCATCTTCAGCATTGCTAAGTCTTTCTTCCATCAGTGAAAAAATAAAAGCTTCTCAGATGAAGCTGAATGAGGATTAACTTCACCTGATCTCAGGTGTGCACTGTTTGAAACTCTCCATGTTTAGCTTCCGTTTTTCTTAAGCATCTATCTAAATAAATCCTCTTAACTGCTCTTACAGCTCCACCTCATAGCCAGTAGTCCATCATGTACCATTATTGTATAATTTCTTATTGTTTGCTTGCACTCTCTTATTGCCCTGAAGAAGTCCTGTGGATTTTACTCGTCTAGCCGTGGCCAACTATACAGGGCAACTGTGCTCATGTCTATTTTAAGGCCAGTGAGCCAGCGCTGTCCAAAGACTACATTTCTACAGTCATGTAACCAGGATGACATCACAGAGTACTGTGACCTTCCCACTGAAATGATACCTATTTATCGACTCACATTTGCATGCCTTCAAGCTGCTAGGTTGGCAGGACTGGAGAGAGGATGGGAGCTCACCCCGTCGCATGAACTCAGGTCTCAAGCCTGGGCTGCCGGTTCTACAGTTGACAAGCCAAACGTGTTAACCACTGGGCGACCAGACCACCCCTGTTGCCTTGAAACTTACTTATATACAAGGAATGCATTTAAATGTCAGAAAGGAACGGAAGGGTGGGATGATAGAGAGAAGCTGCCTTTTGTCCTCTCTGCAAAGTTGTTCATTTTCTTATAGCTGCTTGGCCTCCCTAGAAGAAGAGGAGGACCAGCAGAAAGGTAGATGGACAGAGGCGACAGGTGTCCTGTTGGAAGACCTAAAAAATCAGGTTAGGGACAGATGGTCATGAGAAAGCCTGTCCATGTATTTGCTAAAAATTGACAATGATCTGATTACAGTCACACATAATCAATCAATAGAGGGCATGATGGCTCAGTGATTAAAGATGCTAAGTTTGTCAGCTGGAAAGCTGAAAGCCCGGGTTTGAGACCTGAGTGCCGCGTGACAAGATGAGCTCCTGTTCCTTACTTCAGCTCCTGCCCACCTAGCAGTTTGAAAGCATACAAATTCAAATAGATAAATAAGTACCACTTTGGTGGAAAGCTAACAGCAGTCCATGTGCCTCAGCACATATAATCACGCTGGCCACAAGACATGGAAGTGTCTTCAGACAACGCTGGCTAAGAAACGGAAATGAGCACCGTCCCCTAGAGTTGAAATTGACTGGATGAGGGATCAATGATCAGTCTGAATGAATTCATGCAAACTCATTCAGAGAGAGGCACGGCAGCTTATCATTTTAGGGCTTAGTATTCCTGTCCCACCTCATATCTCCAGGTTCTCAGTTAAGGAAACCTTTTTCAAGCTAGTTCTTGAGGAATTTTTTTTTTTCTACCCCAGAAAGCTCAGGGATCAAAATTCCAGATTTGATGTGTTCACACTGAGCTATAAGGACTTCAGCTAGCTACCCACAATCGGACACAGTATTAAATAAATCGCTATCGCTGCCTCTAAACCAGGAGTTAATCAATGGCTAAGTAAATAAGAGCACTCGAATAATCAGTGTGAGACTATTTAAAAAATCAGAAAGTCTCTTGGTTTTATTTCCCTTCCTAATTATTAGCCTGGAAGAATTGTTGTTTAGAAAAAACTGTCAGCTTCTAAAGAGAACTTCTTTACAAAACAAGTCACATTATGCATCTTATTCCCAACTGAGTGTTATTCCTAGATTTATTTAAATACCAGTGGACTGTACGTGTCTATTATTTCCTTTTCCTGCAATTTTCTGTATCCCTCTAAGTACAGCTGAGAAACAGAATCCAGAATGAATCCTTGTAGATCAAAAGTGTTATGCACAGTGGAGACCCATTTGTACCCCTAGAATATGTGTTGTTGTAAGCCTGTTTTCCTAGAAACCATTGAAGACATTTATATAAAATAAAATAAAAAATAGCAAAGCAATAAAAAGTCATTTGAACAATAAATATTAGATTATTTTGCAGCCAATGGAAAATAGAACACCGATTGGATTAAAAAAACAGCAAAAGAAAAGCCAAACAAAAACAGATTTCTGCAACATTTCCAAGAAGAAAAGATTCCACAATTATAAGATCTACTCAGAACATCTTAAAATCTTATGTTCCCTAATGGTAGAATTTGTGTCATGTCTGCAGTTTTCCATTTTTACAGAAACTTGAAGCTAGCCTTCCAAAATTTTGAAGTTCAAAATTTATAGTGAAATCATGGAGAATGAGTTTTAATTTTTTGGAAAAATAATTAATATAAAATGCAAAAAAATGCATGTTTGGAGAAAACATCTCTCATTCATTTGATTTAATACAGAAATGGGGCAGAGCACGCTTTTAAATAAATGGATGCAAAATGGAAAATAGCTCAGTTACTCCATTATATAAGAACATAAGAAAAATATAACGGAGGCGGCCAAACACCCATTCATTTCATAACCTGATTTCTCACAGTGTCAGCCAGAAGGCAGTTCAGATCCTGAGTTTGGTAAATGATGCTTTTTTTCAAAGGCAGCTGATGCAAAGATAGACTGCGTTTGCCCACAAAGGTTCAGGTTTAGCTTTTGCATTTTTATCTCATTTGGGGAACTTGCCTTTCCCTTGAATTTATCTGATTGTTTTCAAAAGCTGGTAGATCATCTCCAGTTTTCTGTGATGCGATAACACCTCTACTACAACATGTATGACTTTGCCAAGTGGGAATCCAACCCAGGAAAAAGTTCCAGATGCCCTCAGCAGCTGTTGCCCTTCTTGACCCCTTGAAAGATTTTGCTTAGCAGATGCAATTTTTGGTTGCAAAGTGGTTGCAGTTTAGTAGCAGGTGCAACCATTTACAAAAGTTATTTTTTAGTATTTTGTACAATTTAGGGGTGACCTAAAAATTATGAACAACTCATTCCTACCACAACCACTGATCTTTCTCATTTATCAGCCAGAAGGCTCAAATCTAGGAAGCCCCAATTGACAACATCTGCTGCTCAACTACTTTAACAATAATTCCTAATGGAAAACCAAATGGATTGCTGAATGCCCAGACAGAGGAAGACATATAAACAACCCCATGAAAAAAGTGCCAGGCTTTGAGCTTCCATGCAGCAATGAACGATCTTGAATAGGATGCACACCTGCCAGGAGTCTCTCTATAAATGGGGCACAGCATCCTCCCCTCAGTGCGACTGCGGGGTCCCACATCAAACTGGAGATCATAAGCATGACTGGCTGTAAGCTGAGCGTATATACCAGTCCAGTATCGGATTTTTTTCATATAATCAATGCTGCGCCGCAATGATTAGACGGCCTAAACATTAGTATTTGAACATAGATTCTTTCTAACATTCATATTATATTGCATTTTTTAAGCTAGGGGAATTATTACTATATATTGCAAATCCATGAATGATATGCCATACACTCATTCACTCACTCACTCAGTCAATCCAGAGGGAGGACCAAAATGACCCGTTTAGCCTGGCCCCACCAGCTCTGCGCCCAGCCGCACCCGCTTATGATGAAGTCAGCTAGATGGAGCATGGAGGGGGAAATGAGAAAAACGGACGCTACTCACCCTTACAAAGCTGGCCGGGAACCAGCCCTCTTCATCGTCGATCTGTCCCCACCACCAGTCCTTGTTGGAGGCATCGAGTACCTTGATAACGTCTCCCGCTTTAAACGCCAACTCCCGGTTGGCCATGGTGACGTGATCCCATACTGCCTCGGCACTGACAATCGAACCGCCACTGATCAGCTTGAAAGACAAATACAAGGCCCATCAGCCACATTCTCTTCCCCCAGGGAGAAAGCTACCTCCACCCGCCACCCCTGTTTGGAGAGGATGAGGACACCATGCGCCTTGCACCTGGTGGGAATGCCAGTCCCTTCCTTTTGAAAGAACCCGGGGAGCTTGGGCCACCTGGCCAGGGACATTCTGTGCCCAAATAATGCCATTCAAGTCATTTCAGGGAAGACCTTTTTATAGGAATTTCTCTGCCAGACTAAGGCTGACCTCAATTAACGGCCATTCATTTAGAGACATTCAAAATTACAACACTTTGAAAAAAAGGGATTTATGACCAATCCTCAGACTTACAACCATTGAAATATCTCAGGATTAAAATTATGACACCTGATAACTGGCATGTATTTAAAATAGTTGCCACATCCTGGAAAAGTCTTGTGATCAGTATCTGCAACCTTCCCAGCCGGCTTCTAAGAAACAAAGCCAATAGGGAAGCCAAATTTGCTTAACAACGATGGCAAAAAAAGATTGTCAAGTTGGGTGTGTAACAACTGCCCTGCTTGGAAAATAGGAAATCTGGTCCCAGTTGTGTTCATAAGTCAAGGACTACCATTAGTGCGGCTCCGACGCTATGGAATAATCTCCCCGTGGAGATCCGTACCCTCACCACCGTCCAGGCCTTCCGCACAGCCCTCAAGATCTGGCTAGCCCGTCAGGCCTGGGGATAAGTTTTTACTTTCGCCCCTCCCGAATGTTGAGTGAATGTTGTGTTTTACTGTTTAATTTATTCTCGTTCACACTGCTTTTTGTATTTGTCCTACACTCCCTTTCCCCTTTTATTGTAAGCCGCCCTGAGTCCCCTCAGCGAAAAGGGCGGCCTATAAATGTATAATAAATTCCTAAATACCTAAATACCTTCTTTGCGAAAGAAGTTTCCTTCT